GCGAAAAATACGGTAATAATAAAAGCACATTTTATTTATGAAGATAGTATAGATCCATATTTAAATTTGAACAAAATGACATTACCAGGTTAAGCTGTACTTTTCAAAACCAGAGAGAGAAAACATATAATATTCAATTTGATTTGTATATGAAACTAGACATTTTGCAGAACAAAAGGAACATTATAACATCTAACTCCCTTCAGTTCTTCCCCTGTCCCAAGCATTAATGAGCATTGTTCCATAATTTGGGGCTGCACTTCTTCCCGAGACTCTAATCCATTTGCCTCTTAGTTTCAGGTGGTGATGAATTGGAAATGAAGAACAAGGGAGACCACAACGAAATCGACACAGTGGAGGAGCCATATCAGGATTCAGACTGTGGAGAGAGCTTCAGTCAGAGCTCCCATTCCACTTCCCATCAAAGAAATCCCCTTGAGAAGAAACCCTATCAGTGCTTGGAATGTGGAAAGAACTTCAATCAGGGGGCCAAGCTCACTTCCCATCGAAGAATTCATACAGGGGAGAAACCCTATCAGTGCATGGAATGTGGAAAGAGCTTCACTGCTAGCTCCTCTCTCACCTCCCATCAAAGAATTCATACAGGGGAGAAACCCTATCAGTGCGTGGAATGTGGAAAGAGCTTCACTGATAGCTCCTCTCTCACATCCCATCAAATAAATCATACAGGGGAGAAACCCTTTCAGTGCGTAGAATGTGGAAAGAGCTTCAATCGGAGTGCCCATCTCACTTCCCATCAAAGGATTCATACAGGGGAGAAACCCTTTCAGTGCGTGGAATGTGGAAAGAGCTTCAGGACGAGCTTTCAACTGACTTTGCATCAAAGGATTCATACAGGGGAGAAACCCTATCAGTGTGTGGAGTGTGGAAAGAGATTCACTTCTAGCTCCTCTCTCACTTCCCATCAAAGAAATCATACAGGGGAGAAACCCTTTCAGTGCGTAGAATGTGGAAAGAGCTTCAATCAGAGGGCCCATCTCACTTCCCATCAAAGGATTCATACAGGGGAGAAACCCTATCAGTGCATGGAATGTGGAAAGAGCTTCAGGACAAGCTTTGAACTCACTTTGCATCAAAGGATTCATACAGGGGAGAAACCCTTTCAGTGCGTGGAATGTGGAAAGAGCTTCAGGACGAGCTTTCAACTGACTTTGCATCAAAGGATTCATACAGGGGAGAAACCCTATCACTGCTTGGAGTGTGGAAAGAGCTTCAGTCACAGGAACAATCTCACTTCCCATCAAAGGATTCATACAGGGGAGAAACCATATCACTGCTTGGATTGTGGAAAAAGCTTCAGGACGAGCTTTGAACTGACTTTGCATCAAAGGATTCATACAGGGGAGAAACCCTATCACTGCTTGGAGTGTGGAAAGAGCTTCAATCAGAGGGCCAAGCTCACTTCCCATCAAAGGATTCATACAGGGGAGAAACCCTATCAGTGTGTGGAGTGTGGAAAGAGCTTCACTGATAGCTGCTCTCTCACTTCCCATCAAATAAATCATACAGGGGAGAAACCCTATCAGTGCTTGGAATGTGGAAAGAGCTTCAATCGGAGTGCCCATCTCACTTTCCATCAAAGGATTCATACAGGGGAGAAACCCTATCAGTGCCTGGAATGTGGAAAGAGCTTCAGTCAGAGCTCCCAACTCACTTCCCATCGAAGGATTCATACAGGGGAGAAACCCTATCAGTGCATGGAATGTGGAAAGAGCTTCATTCAGAGGGCCCATCTCACTTCCCATCAAAGGATTCATACAGGGGAGAAACCCTTTCAGTGCGTGGAATGTGGAAAGAGCTTCACCAGGAAAGAAAGTCTCACAGCCCATCACAAAATCCACACGGGAAAAACCCTAACAGTGCGTGGAATGTGGAAAGAGCTTCAGTCAAAGCAACAATCTCATTTCCCATCAGAGAATTCACACAGGGTAGAAACTATTTCAGTGCCAAGAGTGTGATAGGAGGGATTTATGAAAGTTTGGTCTCATTTTTAAAGTTCTTAACACAATTGGAGCTCTTAAAAGGACTTAGAGCTCCCTGAAAAAGCTAAAATTAAGACAGGTTTGCGCTCTTGACTATTCTACCACTCAGTGGATTTGTAAGTGGCTGTACTGACCAAACCCAAAAGGTGCTCATCAATGGTTCCTCTTCATCCTGGAGAAGAGTGACTAGTGGGGTGCCGCAGAGTTCTGTCTTGGGCCCGGTCTTATTCAACATCTTTATCAACGACTTGGATGATGGACTCAAGGGCATCCTGATCAAATTTGCAGATGACACCAAACTGGGAGGGGTGTCTAACACCCCAGAGGACAGGATCACACTTCAAAACGACCTTGACAGATTAGAGAACTGGGCCAAGACAAACAAGATGAACTTTAACAGGGAGAAATGTAAAGTATTGCACTTGGGCAAAAAAAATGAGAGGCACAAATACAAGATGGGGGACACCTGGCTTGAGAGCAGTACATGTGAAAAGGATCTAGGAGTCTTGGTTGACCACAAACTTGACATGAGCCAACAGTGTGATGCGGCAGCTAAAAAGGCCAATGCAATTCTGGGCTGCATCAAGAGGAGTATAGCATCTAGATCAAGGGAAGTAATAGTGCCACTGTATTCTGCTCTGGTCAGACCTCATCTGGAGTACTGTGTCCAGTTCTGGGCACCACAGTTTGTCAGAAGGACACTGACAAACTGGAACGTGTCCAGAGGAGGGCAACCAAAATGGTCAAAGGCCTGGAAACGATGTCTTATGAGGAACGGCTAAGGGAGCTGGACATGTTTAGCCTGGAGAAGAGGAGGTTAAGGGGTGATATGATAGCCATGTTCAAATATATAAAAGGATGTCACATAGAGGAGGGAGAAAGGTTGTTTTCTGCTGCTCCAGAGAAGCGGACACGGAGCCATGGATCCAAACTACAAGAAAGAAGATTCCACCTAAACATGAGGAAGAACTTCCTGACAGTTAAGAGCTGTTCGACAGTGGAATTTGCTGCCAAGGAGTGTGGTGGAGTCTCCTTCTTTGGAGGTCTTTAAGCAGAGGCTTGACAACCATATGTCAGGAGTGCTCTGATGGTGTTTCCTGCTTGGCAGGGGGTTGGACTTGATGGCCCTTGTGGTCTCTTCCAACTCTATGATTCTATGATTCTAAAATAGAGACACTGACAAAGAAAACAGAAGCACTAGATATCTCCATGAAAGGAAGGGAGGAGAAGTCTGAAAAGCTGGAAAAGAAGACAAAAAATGGAAATCAGAACAGGAGACGCTTAGGATTGATGTGGACGGTTTGGGAGGAAAATAAGAGGCAGTTGCGGGTGCTTTGGCGGTTCTTGAGATGAGACCGAAAGCCCAGCCTCTGAGACGGAGAGGAGGGAGGAGAGCAGGATTTTAGCAAAGGTTTGAGCGGAGTGGCTGGGAGTGGAAGAGGAATTCATGGAGGAGGCGCCACCCTCCTCACAGCCGGGGGTGGTGGTTTTTGGGTAGAAAACCAATGTGAATAAATCCCTCCAGTGCCACCCCCTGGCCGGTCTTCCTGTCTCCCTCTCCCTGTGCCCCCACCCTGCCCAAATCAAAGTCCCATCCAGCAGCTGCCTCTCCAGGCCTTCCTCCATTCAACTTGGGGCCTCAAGGCGTGCGGGCAGAATTTGGTGGGGGGCCAGGTTGGGCTCAGAGGTCTGCTTTCCTTTCCTTGCACTGGGAAGCTTGTCTACTAACTAATGCATAAAGGATTGTTTGGAAGACAGCCCTCTCTACCCCCCACCCTGTTTTGAGGAAAACCCGCAGGAGGAGCGGGTAAGGGAGGGAGAACTAGGAAGTCCAGAAGTGACCGAGGCCAAGCAGCCACATGAACCAGAACCACAACCGAGTGGACCAGCGGCGTCCAACCCAACGACCCCGTCACAACCGGCAGCCCTGGAACAAGAGCCAGGAACCCCTACCGAGAGACACCCAAGATGATAACAACTACGAATGCTAACCTCCTGGGCGCAACGGGAACTTAGAGGGGAGGGGGATTATGTACTAAGCTTGGAGCCTAGAACAAAAGGCAAGTAGGATCCTAGAATGCAACAACTGATTGGCCTGCAGGAGAAGACCAATCAGGCTCCAGGAGGGAAGCAGAATCAGCCAATCAGACGGGACTCATTGTGTAAATAATGTATACAAAAGCCTGAGGTTTGGGGTGCAATTAAATCACTGCTTTACAAGCTTCAATAAAGAGCATGAAATCACTACAGGACTCCTGAGTAGATTTCAGAGAATCTAATGCATCTTTGGTTGGGATTGTCCAGCAAGGAGATTGGAGATGGTTGCCAGTCAAAGGGTAGTTTAAGACGAGGGCGGGGGGGGGGGGAAAGACCTCCTTGTGAAAGGGGGGCAGTTTTGGGAGACATTCCAGCCCTGGCATTGGGAGCCAGATGAGGAATCCTGGAAGAGGACACTCCAGGCTCATCTAGTCCAACCCCTGCAATTCAGGAACCCCGGTTCTTAGTCCCGCCAGCTCCCTTGAGCTGGGCAACTCGGATGCCTGAAGCAGCGCCCCGTTGGAGAGCAGCCTTGGGTCGCCTCTGGAGCTGTCCGGACCTTTTGGATGGCTGTTTCCATCCCCCCTGCCTTCTGCTGGCAGGCCCGGTTGGGAGTTGTAGTCCAAAGCTTATTGAGGGGAGGTGGTTTTCAAGTTGGAACTATGTTTTGACCCTTTCCCAAAAGGAGATGCCACAAAGTGTGTGTCGGGAGGGTGTCTTTTCAGTGCCAGGATACAAGGTGCTCTCTTGACCTGGGAGCCCAATCCCTCTCCCCCACCCCTAGAAAAGGGGGTCTTCCCCTTATCCTCTCCTTGCAGGACCCCCTTTTCCTTCCTCTTTGCTCAGAGTCAGAACCAACTCTCTCTCAAGGGACCCTGGAGCCAAACACTTGCAGAGTTTTACTTCTCAAGCAAAGGGGGGGAAGGAATACATTCTTATTGCTCTTGAGATGTACAGAAATCTGTTCCCCGCGGAGGGAGAAGCTCGCCAGGCCCCCAAAGTCCCCCGATGGAGCAGCTCTGCACCTGCGCCACGCCCGGGGCTCCTCCGCAGGGAAAGACCGACCAGCAAAAGGGTTAAGTGGCACCAAGCTGGCTTCCTAGAGAGGAATAAAGGGAGGAGGCTATCCAGAGCACAAGCTCCGCCCCCATCCGGGCTTTTGTCTCTCTGCTCCGCATGTGCTGCCTGGGGGCGCCTTCTGGGATCCGGTGAGTCGCCTTGGGGAGATGGGGGGTCCCAGGGCTGCAGGGGAGGGTCCCCCCAAGAAGACCCCTCTGGGACCCTGGCTCCTGAGAGAGAGAGAGAGAAGGGAGCAGGGCGACCTCCGCTTTGCAAGGGCTCAGAAGAACAGCCATGAGGGCCAGGGAGTCATGATGAGGGACCCCCAAAGTCATCTAGCCCACCCCCGGCCAGGCAGAAATCATCTGCCCAGCCTGGGGCTTGAACCCAGGGGCCTGATATCAAAGAGACTCATAGAATCATAGAAGAGTTGGAATAGACCACAAGGGCCATCGAGTCCAACCCCCTGCCAAGCAGGACTCGTGCTCTACCCACTGAGCTCTCCTGCCTTGTTCGGGTTCATTTCTGGAAAAGTCTGAGAGTCGTATCTGAAGTCGTATCTGAAGAAGTGTGCTTGCACACGAAAGCTCATACCAAGAACTACCTTAGTTGGTCTTTAAGGTGCTACTGGAAGGAATTTTTTTGTTTTGACTATGGCAGACCAACACGGCTACCTATCTGTAACTGAGAGAGAGAATGTGAGCTTGGTTTGCTCCACCTTGCAAGGGTTAAAAGGAACTGAGCTGCATTCCTAGAGAGGACAGGGAATAAGGGGGGGAATGAGGTCCTTCTGAGCAAATGCCCCTCCCTCCTTCCCAGGATCCTCCCTGCCAGAGGGGGAGGGGGCTTTCGTTTCCTCTGCAGGAGCTGCCTCAGTTTACCTTCTGGCATCTGGTGAGTTTCCTCTCTTTTCTGCCCTAGGGTGCATTGGGGAGAAGTGGGGCGGGGTGTCCCAGGGCTGCAGGGGACGGATCCGTGGGGATTCTGCTCAGCTCCTGCAAGGGGATCCCCAAGCCAGGGCTAAGAGGTTCTGTCCCACTTCCTCTCTGCAAAGCCAGGGAGGCTGCAAGTAGCAGGAGGTCTGCAACTCTTCTCTTGCTCCTTTGGGGAGGGGTCCCTCAGTCTGGAAGAAAAGGGCCTGCAAAGGAACCCCGATGGGATTGAGGAATCAGCCACGTTCCTTAGCCCAGGTGGCAGCCAGATGGAAACATCTGGAGGCAGAAATAAAAACTTGGCCCCTGTGCTAAACAAAGTCCTTCCATCTCCCAGTGCGCAGTTAGACCCATGGAACTCCCTGCCACAGGAGGAAGTGATGGCTTGAGAAGAGGATGAGGCCCATTCAGGGAGGAGCAGAGGGCTAGCGATGGCTCCAGGCCCCCCAGTGGGAGGCAGCCATGCTTCTGAAGGGGGAGGGAGTTGCCCTCAGAACAAAGACAGAAGTCTGTCTTCAGAATATGGGAATATAGTGCTTGAACTCTGAGTCTGGGCTGTGATTCAGACTCATCCATGCTGGCCCAGGGAACATTTCTCTTCTCCTGTGTATCAATCTGGTAGTAGAAGAATGCATTTGCTTTACAGGATTCTCTGGCACCTCTCATTAGGACAGGCAGAACTTGGCAGAAGACCTAGGGACTCCTTCCGATCTCCTGGGAACAGAGATGGATGAGCAAGACTCAGCTGGCCCTGAAGCAGGAAGAGGCCTTGCAACCCAACATGGGAGGAGTGGGGGAATCTGGGAAAACTCTGTTTGGTCACATTATGTGGATTTTGAAACTAATCTATGAATTTGTTTAATCTTGGGGGGGGGGGGGAGTCACAGAGGACCAAGAGCCCAGAGAAAGGGAGATGTATTTTTGCACTCTAGTATGTGAAATGGGTACAAACGTCCACATTTAGGTGGCAACTCCTACTTGTTTGAAGGCGCACCTGTAGTTTTCCTTCGGAGTGAAGCATGCGCTCTTGGCTTCCCACTTACCTTCTTCTCTCGCAGGAGACGGAAGGAGGCCAGCAAGACCTGTTTGTCCATCTTTTCTTGGTGGCGGAGGGGAAGCTGCCCCTGTGGACCCAGAGCAGGTAGGAGGAAGGGGCCATGTGGGGAGAGAGGATGTCATGGACTGGGGGACACAGAGGAATGGTGGGAGGAACCGCCCAGGAAGGAGGGTTGAAGGCTCAAATAGGCTTCTGAGCAGTTCACACACCATACCAAAGAGTGGCCAGGATTCACCCCATCAGTCCCACAGTGGGGCTTTCCCCCTCTCATTCCCCAGCGCACCTTGGAGATGTCTATAGTGCTTCAGGAGGGTCCTCCCTGTCGCAAAATCTTTGTGGCACTTTAGCAGAAATGCTTAGAGTTCCAGGTTCTTCAGTGCAGTATATTTATTGTGAGCTCTATATCTACAAATATCTACAGGCTATAATACAGGAGCAGTTCATACAGTCAAACGGAGTACCTGGCTGCACCTTAAGGCAAAGAGGAAGACTCTCTCTCTCTCTGACCACACTCCTCTGCACCACCACCTTGACTGCTGGACAGGTTTCCCTTTTAAACCAAGGACAGCCAATCAACTGACAGCACGTTATTCTGACCCACATCATTCTGACCCTGAACTTGCATAGAAAGTATTGCAGGCCGATTGCATCAGCCAGTTGCATCAGCTAGCAGACTCAAGCCTGCAGACCTACTATCTCACACAGCCTTCTGGGATCCCAACACTCCCCACCCGGCAAGAACAGCACAGAGGGACAGAAGAAGGGATCCTTCCATGTGGCAAACGGGAATGTTTGTGCACAGGATTAGAAGAATGATTTGAAGAACACCAGTTTCTTAATGCCCCTCATTAAAATACACAACGAATAATTCCATTAAAACATCAAAATATGCATCCATAAAATGTACAGAAAAAGAATCCAATTAATACAGAACATCAATTAAGAGGCAGAAAACAACAGAGTGTAACAGTTCACCCTTATGTTATCTAAGAGGACAACCTTTTTCTTTTAGGGTCCAGTGTGCTTTGAAGATGTAGCTGTCCATTTCACAGACGTTGACTGGGCATTGCTGCATCCTGACCAGAGAGCCCTCCATAAGGAAGTCAGGGAGGAGAATCGGGGGATCTCGGACTCTCTCAGTAAGGCTTAATATTATGCCTACCCCCCCTCCAAGATGGCCCCCTTTTGCTCTTGAAGGGTTGGTCTGTCTGCAGCCCCCACAGCCTCCCATCAGGGAACCTTCACGGGGGCAGAAGCAGAGGAAGGGCCTCAGGAAAGCAGCCATGGCTCTGGCCAGATGCACAGGAGGAGGAGGAGGGGCGCTGACCCAAATTATGATTTATTCCTTCAATGCCTCCTTCACGTCATGACTGGTCAAAGTCTTGTCTCCTCTTCTCTCCCTCAGTTACCTTACAGCTCTGCTGCAGTCCCTTCCCAGATACAGAGAGTGATCTGGGGTGTCGTGGAATCCTAGAACTGGAGAATTCTGCAGGTCTGCCCAGAACTCATTGCACCGAGTTCAAGGGAACTTCTTCCCCGGTAGTTCCTCTCGGGATCTCCGTTCGACTGAGCTGATAAAGCTGATCTTCCGGAATCGCCTCCACGTGATTGACGACCTGAGCCTCTGATAAGGCTCCAGGCACATTCCCCATTCAGCAGAGTTTCCAGCACAGGGAAGAGACGAGAGGTTTGGGCTACATTGCTAGGGGTTTTATTATCTAGCTACGCAGGCAGAAAAATACATCCTCTCTCTGTGAGAGCAGAGAGCAACTGAACAACAAAGGAACAAAGGAACAGGAAACCACTAACATCCCATCCGTCTCCTGTGAGACTTCCAACAGTATGGAATGTGTGGAATGTAGACAGAGTCTTGTGACTCCAAAGCACTGCTCAGTGGCAAACAGAAATGGCAAGCATTTTCTCCTCACTTACAGGAACATTGGGAAGACAAGCTGGCCTTGTTGTGAGCCAGGTGTCCTAGAGAGACTCTGAAAGGCCCATGGAATCAAAGGGAGGCTGGGGAGGAGAACAGGTCCTCTCAGGAGTGGCTTCCGAGGGCCATGATGCACTGGGGCAGGGCAGGGACAAATGCAGAGGGGCACTGCCTGCCAATCCAATTCCCCAAAATTCATCACCCATCCTGAGACCCTCAGAAGAAGATTCAGGGGGGGCCTGACCAGATTCAGGGGGCCCCTGACCAGCTACATGGCTGGATGGTCATTTCCACCATTCCAGAGGCGAGTCCCTCCCTCCCGACCAGGGAGGGGTGTTGCTTTACTTGCCAACAAGCAGGACACGCACGCCTGTTTGTTGCCATTAGGCTGCAATAAGCTCAGGGGAAGTAGCAGGTTGGGGCACCTAGGAGAATATCCTACACTGCACCTAGGAGAATATCCTACGCTGCACCAAGGATTCCCTGCCCCAGCTGCTTCAGGTTGTGGCGGATGTTCTCCTGGAGACACCTAGCTTGGTTGTCCTAGGGGAGTTTAACATCCATGCCGACACAACCTTACAAGGGGCCACTCGGGACTTCGTGGAAAGCATGGCCTCCATGGGGCTGTCCCTGAATAAGTCTGGCCCAACCCACTGGACATGCCTTGGACCTGGTGTTTACCTCTATGGATGTTGGTGATCTGACACTAAGTAAAAGCGAAACGAAAGAAGTGCCATGGTCAGATCACTTCCTGGTGCAACTGGACTTCTCCGCGACCATCCCCTCTGCAGGGAGGTGGGACCGATTTGGATGGTCCGCCCCCGCCACTTAATAGATCCAAATGGTTTCCAGAGAGTGGTAGGGGATGCTTTACCCCATGTTGATGGCCTTTCAGCTGATTCCCTAGTGGCCCGCTGGAATGTGGAGTTAACCAGGGCTATTGACTGTTTGGCTCCGAAGCGCCCTCTCCGATTGCATGGAGCCCGGACAGCCCCGTGGTTTTCCACGGATCTGAGGGCAATGAAACAATTGTTGAGACTGCTAGAGTGCCGGTGGCGGATAACTCATTCCGAATCTGACTGGACACAGGTTAGAGCTCAACGTCGAACCTACCAAGTGGCGATAGCGACAGCGAAGAAGACGTCTCTATTGCATCTGCAGAAAGAAGAAGAAGAGTTTGGATTTGATATCCCGCCTTTCACTTCCTTTAAGGAGTCTCAAAGCGGCTAACATTCTCCTTTCCCTTCCTCCCCCACAACAAACACTCTGTGAGGTGAGTGGGGCTGAGAGACTTCAGAGAAGTGTGACTGGCCCAAGGTCACCCAGCAGCTGCAGGTGGAGGAGCGGAGACGCGAACCTGGTTCCCCAGATTACGAGACTACCGCTCTTAACCACTACACCACACTGGCTCTCAAACAGCAGCAGGAGACTTTTTCAGGTGGTTCACAATTTAGCGAGTGTGGTGTAGTGGTTAAGAGCGGTAATCTCGTAATCTGGGGAACCGGGTTCGCGTCTCCGCTCCTCCACATGCAGCTGCTGGGTGACCTTGGGCCAGTCACACTTCTTTGAAGTCTCTCAGCTAAATTGTGAACCTCCTGACTGGGATGAGAGCTCAGCAGCCAGTCTCTTTCCAGCTCCTCCTTCTCCTGGCTCATCCTCCCAGTTCATTCCTGGCCTGATTTACTCTCCCAGGACACCACACACTGTCCTTCCCACTAAGCTCAGAGACTCCTTTCTCTAGCTGGTGATCTTTTCCTCAGAGTGGATGTTTCCACCCAGAACCAGCTCCTCTCACTCCCCATCTTCACCACCTCCCTCCAAAACTCCTAGCCATGGGGGGAACTGGGCCCAGGTCTCCCTCCTCCAGCTCCAGGGCTCTTAGTCTGTCCGATAACCACATGGGGCGTCTTTGGGTGTAATAATAATAATAATTTATTATTTATACCCTGCCCATCTGGCTGGGCCTCCCCAGCCACTCTGGGCGGCTTCCAAAAAAATATTAAAATACTGTAATACATCAAATATTTAAAGCTTCCTTAAACAGGGCTGCCTTCAGATGTCTTCTAAAAGTCTGGTAGTTGTTGTTCTCTTTGACATCTGCTGGGAGGGTGTTCTACCACTGAACACTCTGTTCCCCCCAGTTCCCCATGGGGATGAAGGGCAGCTGCCGTGGGGGAAAGACCCCTTGCGTTGTCGCATATTAATTGGGGGCAGAGGTGGGATATGAAGGTAAAACCCACACAGATCCTATTTAGTTTTGAGCGGACTGGCAGACTTAAACATTCATGAGGAAAACTGGGTGCTGCACTTACGCCCACAGATATGGGGAATTTTGAGTGAAATATACTCAGATCTCAGAGAGGATGAAACCTCTGATTCCCTCACATTTAAAGAGAGAGTGAAAGTGCGCTTTGGACTGACTGCAGAACAAAGCCAAAAAGCCTTTCGTGAAATTAAAAGGAAACCAGGAGAGACTTAGGCCCAACTGGGTAGCAGAATTGACCAAGCTCTGGACAGATGGGAGGAAAGTTAGATGAGCTCAAACAGCTCACCAGTTTAGAGCAATGTTTCCAAGAGGTTCCTGCTCATTTAGGCTGAAAACAGTAACTGAAGTCTCTACCTTGGGAGATGAAATCAAAGGAGACTTAGGGGGAGCAGTAATACTCAGTCCCTTCAAGAAAAAGCAACCCAGGGAGGAAGTGGGGTCTCAAAACGACAACCCTGAAGGGTGGGCCCAAGGGTGCCGGGGGGGAAAAGAGCCGTGATACGAAGTAAAAACCCACACAGAAACGTACCCAGAGACACAGAACAACCAGTTTAATAAAGGAGTGAAGTTCTTTGATTAAAAAGAGAAAAAATTCCTGTCAGAAAATGACCAGCACGCGCCAAGCCAAAGAGACTCAGGATGACCCAGCTGCTGCGTCTGAGGAGAATCCTAATATATTGAGTTAGAGATGATGAGGCTAAGATTGGAATTGTCTAAGGTTGAAGGAGAGAAAGAAAGAGAACAGGCCAGAATGGCAGCTGCCCTTCATCTAGCAGAGATACAGGCAGAGAGAGAGAGAGAGAGGGAGAGAGAGAGAGATGAGCCCAAGAAGAAAGAGACATGTTTCCTTTAAAAATGGAGGAGATTCAGGCGAGGGCAGAACTGCCGCAAGCAATGTTGGGGGTGGAGATTTTGCCTCAGCAAATGTAAAGTATGTACAGTGGTACCTCAGGTTACAGGTTACATGTCATAAACTTCCTTGTTAAATAAAATCGTTAATGTTTATTTGAAGAAATCTTGCCTGAGACTCCCAATTAGTGAGTTTTACCTCACGCAAGTCACCCACAAGATAATCTGAGGTAGTTGGAGGGCATTTGTGGGAATTGTGTTCTGTGAGGTGGGTGCACTATATTTAAGAGAGAGAACGGGCCCAAGGCTGCCAGGGGGAAAAGACCCCTTGCGTTGTCGCATATTAATTGGGGGCAGAGGTGGGATATGAAGGTAAAACCCACACAGATCCTATTTAGTTTTGAGCGGACTGGCAGACTTAAACATTCATGAGGAAAACTGGATGCTGCACTTACGCCCACAGATATGGGGAATTTTGAGTGAAATATACTCAGATCTCAGAGAGGATGAAACCTCTGATTCCCTAACATTTAAAGAGAGAGTGAAAGTGCGCTTTGGACTGAGTGCAGAACAAAGCCAAAAAGCCTTTCGTGAAATTCAAAGGAAACCAGGAGAGACTTAGGCCCAACTGGGTAGCCGAATTGACCAAGCTCTGGACAGATGGGAGGAAAGTTAGATGAGCTCAAACAGCTCATCAGTTTAGAGCAATGTTTCCAAGAGGTTCCTGCTCATTTAGGCTGAAAACAGTAACTGAAGTCTCTACCTTGGGAGATGAAATCAAAGGAGACTCAGGGGGAGCAGTAATGCTCAGTCCCTTCCAGAAAAAGTAATGATTGGAAACCCAGGGAGGAAGTGGGGTCTCAAAACGACAACCCTGAAGGGCGGGCCCAAGGGTGCTGGGGGGAAAAGAGCCATGATACGAAGTAAAAACCCACACAGAAACGTACCCAGAGACACAGAACAACCAGTTTAATAAAGGAGTGAAGTTCTTTGATTAAAAAGAGAAAAAATCCTGTCAGAAAATGACCAGCAAACGCCAAGCCAAAGAGACTCAGGATGACCCAGCTGCTGCGTCTGAGGAGAATCCTAATATATTGAGTTAGAGATGATGAGGCTAAGATTGGAATTGTCTAAGGTTGAAGCAGAGAAAGAAAGAGAACAGGCCAGAATGGCAGCTGCCCTTCATCTAGCAGAGATACAGGCAGAGAGAGAGAGAGAGAGAGAGAGAGAGAGAGAGAGAGAGAGAGATGAGCCCAAGAAGAAAGAGACAGGGAGGCCAAGATGGCCCATGAAAAAGAGATGTTTCCTTTAAAAATGGAGGAGATTCAGGCGAGGGCAGAACTGCCGCAAGCAATGTTGGGGGTGGAGATTTTACCTCAGCAAATGTAAAGTATGTAAAAGCTGATGGTGTGCAGGCCTAACGGTCCAAGCTTCAAAATGCCAGTTTTCAAAAAAACTATTAAACTATTAAATAGTAAACTATTTGGGTCCCGTCCCAAGGGGTGGAAATATACAACCTGATTGGAGCAAGGCAAAGGTCCTTCAAGAGGGGCCTGGACCCTCCACAGAAAGAGAAAGAAGAGCTTTTCTGGGGGGACAGGGATATTGTCCTCCATGTATTCCTCCTTTTAGCCCCCATGATGCTCCTTGACATGACTGGGAGAAGAAAGACCTGCCAGACAAGAGCATTTGGAGGGACCAGTGCCAGGCAGCGTTGGGACATTTAAAAACAGCCCTAGATCCGGGGTCAGCAAGCTTTTCCAGCCGGGGGCCGGTCCACCGTCCCTCAGATCTTGTGGGGGGCCGGACTATATTTTTGGGGGGAAATGAACGAATTCCTATGCCCCACAAATAACCCAGAGATGCATTTTAAGTAACAGGACACATTCTACTCATGTAAAAACACGCTGATTCCCGGACCGTCCGGGGGCCGGATTGAGAAGGCGATTGGGCCACATCCGGAAGAGGACGGAGTCTTCATCTCCTTGGTTGCCCTTCTCTGGGAGGGTGGGCAGATTGTGAGGAGCAAAAACGAGGGTGTGATGATGACTCTCACTTTCAATACTCCTACTATAGGTAGGCTAGAGAAGCTGTGAGATGTTTTGCTGAGGGGGGGGCAGGAGAAGAGAAGAGTAACGCAAGTCTTCCACCCCCAGTTATGTCTCCTCCAGAACATCTGGCCAGAGACATTTTGACAAAAAAATCCACCTGGACAGAATTTTTACCCCTGAAAAGGAGGACGTGTCCTGGGAAAAGAGGACACATGGCAACCCTTCTTCTCTGGCGTCCCTCGTAGC